ACTGTAGGTTTTGGTAACTGATATTTATTTAGAGAACTCTCCTAAAATCTCTATAGCTCATTGAAGCCAAATGTAATTAATCATGAAGTTTTTAAATGTTTATGGTTAGCTCAGCTAAAATTTTACAAGAATATAATATAGTATAAGCATATTTAAGAAACTGTGGGCTCAGTGACAAACCAAAAATATCTTGATATGTACTCCTGAAACTCAATTTATTTGCTGTATTATATTTGCACGGCAAATGTTTATGTAGAAAAATGTGAACTTCAGAACATGTAGACATAAATGATGAATGAATGAATGAATGAATAAATGAATAAACAAACAAGTAAGTAATCTTCAATATCCCTCTACTGGATTATCTCTTAAACTTCACCTGTTAACTTTTTATAACTTTCAATCTATTTATTTTCAAGTGTTTCTAATGATGAAAATGAAAATATTCCATAGGCTATATATCTCAAGTGTCCCTATAAATATAAACAAACCAACGTATTCAGAACTCATCATGAAAACAAGTTGATAAAACTATAGTTTTCTGTGTCTGAAGACATTTGGAGAACTCTCTCAAAGTTTCTACAACCTGTCTGCCTGCCTGAGACTGTTAACTTGATGGTGCCTCTGCAGTAGTGAAGTTTGCACCATAACTCTGATAAAGATGTCAATTGGGGGGGGGAGGGGAAATCAAGGTATTATTCATTCCGCTTTAGTAAGACTCTCCAAGCATTTATCTCATTTCAGAATCAATGGAATTACATCTTTTAAAAAAAAGTTAAATGTGATTTAGTACACGTCTTAGGTTTAGCAATTATAAAAAATGAGTAACTGAAATATCCACAGCTCCTCAAGGCATGGTCTCATTCCCAATTTCCTCTCGATCCAGAGAAGTCCTGCCCAAGAGACACACCTGGAAATGTGTGGGGATTCAACCCATATGTGGCATGAGCTTATGTCTACTGGACTGCCCAGAAGCAAGTAGTGCAGGGGTGAATGCACTTCTCATTTCTTGAGGACTGCAGGAAGAGAGGTCCAGCAGTGGGCATCGATGGGGAAGCCAAGAGAAGGGGTCAGGAATAACTGACTTTCTTGCCAGAAAAGTCTCAAGACATCAGGAAGCCAAGACATCCCTCACTTCCTTGTTTCAGTCCCCCATTTCCCATGAAGGCAGAGCCTGCAAGTTGGGGTACAGAAGCCTACCTCACTCCCTTCCTGGAAGGTAGTCAGCTGCCACCACAGGCCTTAACTGTGGCAGAAAGAGGAAAACTCTCACCTTTGGATACTATAAATTTCTGTTCAAATACTGGATATTTGGAGACTTAAAGGATTAATAGAACTATCATTTACTTAAAAATGAGCAGAAAAGTCATGGGAGCTCCCTATGTTTTCTCTCAGAGTCAGAAAAATATTATCCTCATTGAATTTATTTTAAAATATGGTGAAGCAAAGAAAAGAAAAAACATGTATTTTCATTACACCATAATTTACACTTGTTTAATATATTGGTTACAACAAAATAGGTAACAATACAACTGTATGTTTGAAAAATTACGAACAATGCTACTTACAATGTTGATACAACAATAAAACAAATACCCTTCTTATGGCCAACATAATATTGTCCATAATGCTGCCTTTTCAGACCAAAGATAAATTTAATGTGTTTCCCGATCGTTTTCAAAGGCTTGTAATTTTATTAAGAAAAAAAATAACAAATATTTAAGAGCAAGCCTTTCTGCTTTGAATGCTACATTAAAAACAGCCGACCAATATCACCAAGTCGAAAATAATTTCTATAATAATGAGGCAAAATAAGCCATGCGAGAATAGAAGTGTTAAGGACAATTATTCAGAATCTTCTCTATGCCACAGTTTGTTCTAAAGGTGCTGCTTTGGGACATAGTGGTCAGACCCTGGAAGGGACCTATTTAGAGCTATAGGAAAGTGCTTTGACAAAAAGAATGGAGTTGACAATCCCACAGTTTTTACATTATATCTGAGATCACAAGACAGACAAGTGACTGAACTCACTTGGGAAGCAGGGAAATCGTAAAGCTACAGGACACTATGTCCTGATCAAGTAAGCTAACCTAATGAGGAAAAGAGACCCTGGCAGCCATCTTAAAAAATTCCTGAGAATGAAGAGACCACAACTTTGGTCTGACTGCAATGAATGAAGTATCCGAAGGAAGATTTCTCTTTGGGGAGAAAGACTGTATTCCTAGAAGGAGACTAGAAACACACTTTTGGATTCACTGAAGTAAAATTGGCCAGTGAAGAATGGAATAGAATGTCAGTGTCTCCAGTGTCCATAGTAGTTGCTAATTTTCCACATGTGAAGTTGGAGGAATCTATATAAGGATCTCCATGCAGTTTCAACACGGAATTTGTGCCTACACTGGTTGGTGCATGTCAGTTGACTATTCATAGAGGACTTGAGGCCAAAAAATACTAGAAAAGTCAGATCAAACTTAACCACTTTATTAGTTTTCTTTAGAAATTGTTTGCTATTATTTAAAATCATATTTTAATTAATAAATAATGCCTTAAACAAATAGAAGGCATTATGGTTGTTATTTTTATTATTGTTACTATCATTATTCCTGATTACCTGCTTAGATCAAATCATTTTCAACTAAGCCTAAAAAATAGAGCTTTCATGTGTTTCTATTTTGAAACACTTAACCACTAAGTGTGACCCTTGAATAAAAGCTTCCCAGCCCAGTCAGCTTCCAGCCTGCAGTGTCCCATGCAGGCAGCCTGTACAGAAATCAAGACCACAGCAGGCAACAGGCAGGTAGATGTCCTCACATTGATTTTACTGACTTGATTTTGGCCAGGCAAACATTAACTCTTAATTAACTAATTGTCTGCTTCTCTTGCATTATACCCCAGGATTTTCATTCATAAGGAACCCTATTTGGAATCTAGGTAGAGAGTCTTTTTAAGTATATAATATTATTAACATTGTACCTATTTTGCTGTAATCCAGGGAATTAATCTAGCATTCTAAGACCAAACAATGAATCTACTTCAATTTCATTTGTTTTCTCTTTATTACTTGTCAGAATCTATCTTATTTATATTTATTCTCTCACAAAATTTACAAAAGTACATAGCGTGAAAAATATTTCCCTTTAACACCAAGGATGCTCACCAACTATAACCATTTGGATAGATATACATACATGTACATATGCATATCTTATATAGTCTTTTTTGACATAATTACAAAATTTTTTAAAAAATGGAGATTCATAAACAATAAAATAGTCTGAGTTTATCGAAATTTTGAGACCTTTCTGTGACTTTGGAAATGGGTCTGTAAATCTGCAAATCCTTAAGCTTTCCATGAATTTCAATGAGTTAGAAACACTGCAAACATAACCTTTCTATGCATTATTTCAGGATTTAAATTTAGGTTTGGGTGACCCATGGGAGAAATAGGGAAGAAAAAATAAGAGTTATGACTCAAAAGAGAATACTATCTCTTAGAAGTTAAACTTATAATACATTAATTCAGTTCTAATTTCCTACTAATCTCTGTCCTTATTCATTTGCTTAGTAAATAATTTTAAAAGATAAAACTACCATCATAAATTTACATTGACACAGTGGTAATATTCCCACTGAAATGGAAATAATTTCTTTTCCATTGGTTATGTTTGTATTTTCTCTCTCTCTCTCTGTGTGTGTGTGTGTGTGTGTGTGTGTGTGCAGGTGTGTGTTGGAAATACACTATACGTATTTCCAATTATATAAATTTAAGGTTCTGTACGATTTAAATGCCAAATGGAAGTTTTCTAAAAGTTTCTACATGGAGCTGGATTTATATATTAATTTTTTCTGTGTCAACTTCAGCAGAGCTGCCAATAATTTTATATAAGATGCATTTGGTAGACATAGCACATTAACATCATTCTGTGAATAATCTTCATATTTAGAGAAAAATCACAAATTGACAATAAGCAATAATAAGAAAATCAAAAAATCCTCACCATACCAAATATTAAGGTATATCTGTTAAAATATAGGTAATATTATATCTACCTTCAAATCCTAGATTATATATTGAATATGTTGATCAGTACAAAGTGGGATTGTAAAAGTCTACATTTTAATGAGAATTTTAGCATCCCTTTGTACTTGAAATCTTCTGAGATGTCTATATTTATTTAAGAACTTTCCATTAGTACATGTTAGCTATAATGTTTTCTTAGAAACCTCTCAAGGAAGCAGTTTTCAGGAATCTGGTGAAGAAATCTATATGGACAGCTAAGAAATTCTCAAAAGGTTTCATTCAAAGACAAGTATATGTGTAAAGACTTCTGGATGCAGTTTTGCTTTGAATGATCTGCTCAAGGTCATCATTAGTGATGAGAATAATAATAAAGTTTTCCATTGACAAAATGCCAGGGAGAACTATAACTTTTAGATGATCAAATAGGCATGAAAATCTTCTGCTTAAAAATGATTAAGGCTATGCGTGAAATAATTACCATAGAGACCCTTCATCAAGTAATCTACAAAATAAGTGAAGAAAACAGGAAGAATGACCCATCTGAAATGCATCATTTAATTGTTTCTGAGAGAGACATGGGCTCCTCAACAAACTTAAGTGCTTTATATATTTTTGGACTGTCTTCTTCCTAAATTTATAAAAAATGTTATACTTCCTGGTGCTCAAAAGGCCATATATGCCTTAAGTCCAGAGAGAATTCACTTGCATCTCTATGCATGAGAGATGATTTAATTAATTCATCAACATGTGTGTGTAGGGGGGAGGGGCTTAAATCTCTAAAAAATAGTCAAGTAAAATTACCTTGTTAATATGAAATGTTTTAAAACTCTTTAAGTAAAATCATCTTGTTAAAATAAAAGGTTTTAATAAAGGTTTAACTTATAAGTCACACTGAATTGTGAAGCATCTTTAAGAGGTAAGACTTTTTGAGTTAGCTATGGCAGGAATAACATTAGTGACCAGCATCCATCAACCTTACCTGTGGGGCTCATCTTGACTGTGGAGGCAGCAATTTACGGTATTCACCAAAAAGCTAAACAAACGACTGTACAAAGATTTGGCCAGGAGATCCCGGTAAAATTCAGCCATCACTATAGTATGTCGACGTGTGATCATATCGCCTGGAATAGTAAAAGAGAGAAGCACAAGAGTTCTCTCATTTAGAAACAAACAAATCCATGCACATCTTATTTACCCATCACATACCCTTGTACATTACAGATTGCTAAAAATATATATTATGATTCTAATAAATAAAGTCTCCGTCAGTTGTTACATAAAATGTTTCTCAAAAATAAGTGTTGTATACATTGCAATCTTACTTGTTAAAAATGTTGACCACAGCTTTTGACCTTTTAGAAACTATGTAATTTCCTTTCAGTTAGGGAACCAACTCTTTGAAGGGCCCCTCTTAACAAGTTTCCTGCTGGCAGCTCACTGGTTTGAATACTGAATCATCCCCGAGGCATTTGGAAACCTGGCCATCTGGAAAATTAGTCATATTTTAAATATTTTCAAAGAAATGGTCCAACTAACCAAAACGTGGGTCTGGAATTTGGGAACAAGATTGAGCCTTCAGGTAGATATTTTTATGTGCTCCCAAAGAGATGGTAATAAAATCTGAAATAAGATATTTAGAAAAGAATAGACTAGAGAAGAAAGCAAGAAAAAAAATAAGTGAGGATGACTTGGAATTGAGCCTAAAACAGAGAGCTGAGACAGAATGTGAATCTAGTATTCATACTCTGTGGCCTTGGTCAACATGGCTAACCACTGCAACGTGGGCTGAGCAAGGAGTTAATAGGATGATGACCATGTGAAATGAGGGTCGAAGAAGTTGTTAATCATGGAGACATAGATAAGGAAGAACTGCTTCTGAGACTAGTTGAGATAAAAACAAACAAACAAACAAAACAAAAAACAAAAACCACAGGAGATAATTGAGAGTCAGGGAGCTACAAGTTAAAGGTTAATGAGATGGACCAACACAAGGTGGAAGTGAAAGCAGTATGCCATTTATGATGTTATAGAATTGAGGTCTCTAGAGTCAACATGATTAAGGGGTTCTGATGGGTCATCATCATGGCAGGTGTATAAAGAGATGAGGACACTGTAAACAGAGAAACCTGCTTTATATGTATATTATATATATATTTATCTATATATTATATATCTATATAATATACTTATCTATATATTAAGTTATAGATATTATTGGAGAGCAGTTTTTCTTTAAAAATTCGTGAGAAAAAATAATGTAGTTGGATAACTTCGAGAAACACAGTAGAGTTGGATGCAAGGGTACAAGTGGAAAAATGGCTAACGGTGAAGCATAAAAATTAGGTATGGCCCGAATAATAAAGTACCCCCTAAACGACTTTAAAGTGGCAAGCTTTACTCTACAGGCACTGGAGAATCTTTGGAAGACAGTTCATGGATGAAAAGCATATTTGCATTTCAAAAAGATTATTCCTGAAGCGGTATAGAAGGAAGGTGAATGAGATAAGTCCAGAAAAAAGAATAA